AAATATGGAGACTCAGCTTTGTTATATTACTGCTCCTATGTAACTATGAAAACAGGATTGCATAAGTGGCTTTTATACTGACTAAATAAATACTACTTTTATATTAAGTTTGGAATTACATAAAAGCCACAAGGAGCCCATTTTATTCATATATATGTATATCATTTATATCTGTTTTATCTGTGAAGGGATCTTATTATTTCAAAAATGCCCTAGCTGCACAGGGAAAGAGAAATCTAAATATCAGTCAGGAGTCAGTCAAGGCATTCTTAAGAATTCCTTGGCATCAGAGCTGAAATTTAGCCTTTTGGGCTTGTTATACTTTGGACCTGAGGTTGCAGAATAGAGAGATTTAGTTATCCAACATCTTGTGCTGATAGTGAACTTTTGACCATCTCTCCGCCGGCAGAATGCTTCATGTGGGTGTATTTAATGGCTGAGTCAGAAACTGAGAAACCATTTAAAGTGTTAGTCTTATCAAAGTCAGCAGGGGAGAGCAGCTTTTTCCACATATCCATCCGTCTGCTACTCGGATCATCTCTACATCTTTTTGGATTCTGAGATAAACACTGAACAGTGAAGCCATAATAATATCAGATCATTAATTCAATCTAATTCTGTATATTGCACCACTTCCTATGGGGAATATTTCCTCCTGAAAGACATTGTATATTCTTTATTATGGGGTTTCGTTTTTTCTGTGAAAATGTTTTGCTTGGAAAGATTTCTTTTGTTCGCATTCACTATGAATAATGCTCTTGGCCTGCTCTACTTATTCTGTTGCAAGTTCCTCCCTGACATAGAATTTCTCTGTGTATCTAAATACTGATGTGCAGGGAAGCCTCATTTGATCTGACTCCCTCAGGTCAATCTGTGTCAGTCCTGCAACAGTGCTGCTTCTGCTGATTTCTAAGTTAAAGTAGGCCTATTTTGCAAAATGCAACCCAAATTAATAACGAGTAATTGGAAGTAACTTTTCATAAAAGTGAAATTTGCTTTTCTTTAGCTAACAAATGTCAGTTTAACAAACAGTTTGAGTTAAATGTTACATGTTTTTTAAACGGTTTATTTATCTGTGTCCTGCTGTGATTTTTTTATTGGCATTGTCAATCATTCATTTTTGTCATTTTAATCATGTCGTAAATAAATACCATGAGATAAACACACTTAGAATAATATAAAGTATATCTAATTCATATTTATATTTAAGTTGTAATGTTTTTTTTAAAAGCATCTAATGCTAAAACATGATCATTAAAGACACTTAAATTAAAATTTAAGAAATGGTGATGGATGGTTTGATTATTTGACTTCATTGACATAATTTGAAGTTGATTTTTATTTTTCATAGAATGCAACACATTTCTTGAAAATATGAATAATAGAAAACGCTTTATGGCTTTTTCGTGTATTTTTGCTATGCAGATAACAAGTCATTTATTTTCATTATCATATGCGTTGTGGAAGAAGATCCTGCTTTATATCAGTTAAAAATGGCCTCCTCCAAGCTACAAAAAAGCATTATGGCAGAGTTGTATATTAAATTATTGATCAGCTAGCAGTTTTTTCTGGGTAATTAAGCTGTGAGTGTTGGTGGGAATTGATTGTTGAAAGTTTAAAAGAGAACAAGAAGGTCAGGATGAACACATCAGCACCCTTTCTGCTGCGCAACATAGAATAGCATCCAGTCGGATAAATATGTACACTCTGTTTACTTATGCTGTAGAGAAGATTTTATCAAACAAGAATTAGAAAAGAAATTATTTTTATCTGGATTGCAAAATTGCTGTTTTAGCTTAATTCACTATACACGGTACTTCACAGGGTGGTATATCGTCTTTTGAGTTACAACCATCGCCTTTAAATCCTCCTTGTACTTGCTCTGATGCAATTAAACAAATATTGTTGAACCTTTTCCTAATTTTTTTATATCATAATAATAATAGTTTTGACTATAGTTTTATATTTTAGAAACCATTGAAGAGATATTCTCAGCAAAGGAAAAATGAAATTCAAAGCGGGTCCATTGTAACAAAGGCACGGAACATTTCACTGTGTTTAGCTTTAAAATAGATATGTCTAATACAGTTTGCCCTTGACTTGTTCACATATACTGCAGACACAGCAGCTCAGTAAAACAATACAGAACATAATACAATATTATAAAGATTGTATCTCAAAGGTAATATTTTATATCAACACAAAATGGTGGTTAACAGTAACACACATGTAAAACCCTAAAATGGCTTTCATCCGTTCAGCAACCAATGGTTTGCCGCATCTCCCTTTTCCAGCAGCCTATCAAAGCTCAGCGGGCTACTTGCCACACCTAACAGTAGGGGAAGCATGGTGCGTGCTGATTGGTAACTGGAAATAGCGCCCTGGGACCCCATTGGCCACGGTGCTCAGATGTTTGACAGTAGAGTTACTAGGCTGAGCAGCAGAGTTGGCACTGGTTTCAAACCCCCTATGCAGTGTGTCAACCAATCATAAAGAGCCACAGTGGGGCATTATAAGAATAGTGAACGGCTTAGGGGCAGGAAACTACCATTGCACATTTCATCACTGTTTTCAGTCCACAACAATACTCTCTAATTCCTGTCTAAATCCCATGAAACAGACCTTACCAGTATTTTATCCGTCTGTTGCAGAACTTGGCGGTCCTCAAGAGATTCTTTCTTCACTAGTATTGAGACGTTTGGTGTTTCAAAGTCGCTGGGGTCCCATTGAACATGGCTGTGCTTCCCCACACTCCGCGCCGAACCCGAAAATGGGGGACGTCATGTGCAGTTTCATGGTCCCCGGGGTTGATGAGTTGTTCTAGGGCGCTCACCGACACACCCCCTAAGAAGCCATAATTAGCTTTTCCATCAGGCATTCAGGTCGGCCTTCACGGCTCCGAGGGAGGCGGCCATTGTTTGCTGACAAGTGGAGGTCCCTTGTCTCCCCCTCTCACTTTTTCTATTCTCGGGGCAAATGGATGGTATGCGGTGTGGCTGATTGGAGGTGAGAGCCATATCGGTCGCTGGAGATTCACTAATGCAAACTCAAAACTACTGTGTATTCACTATTCACAGTCCATGGCCACACAGTAATCAGATAACTGGCCAACTGACAAGCAGCAGTGGAGTGGAATGTGGAGAGCGGCGAGAGATGGATGAAAGACAAGCCAAATGCCCAGCTCTGTTTGCCTGTGTGTGTCTCACTCTCACATTGCAGCCATGCATCCAGCCAAACTACATCAGTACATATTGCCCAAAATTGCCTCTATTATTTTTCTCCCCATTTGGTATTCAGAATGTTTAATAACCGGGTCATTGCTTTCTGGCCATTACTTCCTCCGTGCGATAACTTTGAAGGGTGAATTGCACCTTATTTGTCTTTATACTTTATAATTTTAGCTACCGAATTAATTGAGAGCTGAGCCTCCAGTGTCGGGAGAATGGAAGGAGCTAAATCAGTGCATATTCCAGAAAAATAGAGGGGCAAGTGTCATTCCAGGTTAATTAAATCCCTGCTTTGAGTCTGGCATGAACACAGACCTCTTTCAGGATGATGAAGACAAAGTCCTTTCTTTCAGCTCGGGTGTTGCCGATATAATCACAAGTCTAATGGCTATGCCGCTGTGTAAATCACATTATCGCTGCCCACACACACACACATGCACATATTACTTGTTACACGTAACTGACAACAAATGAGTCTGCTTTGCTATGCTAAAGCAAGAACTGTGAAGGTAGTGTCAAGTTTTGAGAAAAATAAATCTGCTGATCAAAAAAGGATTTGCCACCTTTCTTACAGTACCTTAGTCATTTTGCCTCTCATACCGCGGCTGGTGTTTATCTCTCCCCAGCATGAAATATGTGCCTTTTATTCAACGCAGACTACGCTTTGTGCCAAATGGATGTTTACTATACCTCCCAGCCTGCAGTCTCTGTTAACCCTAGGAGCGTATGGAGGCTGGCTAACTCGCTGTGTTCCGCACCATCAAGTCTGTCGCTTATTATTTGAATCTCTTAGTGCTTTCTTTTAGTGGAATTCTCTATAGCAGATTAACAAAGCTGCACTGTTGGTTATCCCTTTCTAAGGCCGTGGAATAAGTTGCTAGTCTCCCGCTGATTTTCACTCTCAGCATCCTCTCACGGTTCCTCATTAAGACTCTGAGAAACAAGTGCCCCCCCCCCGACCCAACGCTACAGTAAGGCCAGGCCTAACATGATGCTCAGCGTGTTCGTTGGCCTTCGACAGCACATCGGTTTGCTCCGAGCTTGTTTTCTCTGATTGCGCTCCGTCCCTGTTTTTCAACTCTTTTCCCTTTTTCTTTTCAGAGAGTAACGCGAGGGCGGGTGCTGGGTACTTTTCTAAGAGAGCGAGAGGCGGGTGTTGGGATTTGGGGATAAGCAGTGGTTTTCCCATTGAGCGACGTTTGAAGGTCAACTTTTCGCCGAGTAGGGCACTTGTGAGAAGCCAAATAATTGTATTTCAGTATGAATAATGCATTGACAGTGTCTCTGTTTTCAGCCCACATTTCTTTTAGGCGCTTTTTAATCTCATTCAGCTTCCCTTCATTGAAGTTCTAGTGCTGCAGTGTAAAGTCAAATGCAGCTAAACAAGTGTCTTTTCTCACAATAATCCTAGTATTTATCTCATTCCAAGTTCTATGTTATCCACTGGGTATTGCAAATTCCTCTAAAGAGTATAGAATATGAGAGCTAACTATTTCCTTTTTTTGCATGCGCCCTTTTCTGCTACATTTTTACATCTCATTATGCCTTTTCTCAAGTGTTCAATTTAATCTGTTCATGTAACTTCTTCTCCATCATGTGAATACATTGTTTCTTAAGAGTGGCCAGCAATATTGTGTTCTACAATCTGCACTTTTCCACATTTGGTTCTGTTTCTCCGTTGTCATGCTATTTGCTCATGTTTGTACAGTATGGAACCGATACAATTTCTAAACCCAAATGTGGCGTTGTCTGTTTCTTTTTCTTGTTCTACAGAGATGTTGAAGGAGTTGAACCAACAGCGCAGAGCGAAAGAGTTTACAGACCTGAAAATTATTGTTGAAGGCAAAGAGTTTGAAGTCCACCAAAATGTTCTAGCTTCCTGCAGCTTGTATTTCAAGGACCTGGTGAAAAGGTTTGCCTTCCCTTTCCCTCCCACCAGCTGTTGATCCAATCTGTTCTTTTCATAGGGCGCATTTGTGTCGCTTTTTCTTTTTTTCCCCTTCCCCTCTCTCTCTTGCAGGTGTGTGAAGACTTTGGTTCCTAACACAGGGCCAGCAGCCATTCCTTCCTCTTCCCGCTCAAATGAATGTATCTGAAAATGGAGAAAAAGGTCAACCCTCGTCATTACCTTTCCTCCCCATGTAGGGCAATTTAACCACATTTCCATTTTAATGAGCAGTGAAAATGTTCCATGACTGGGGATGTTTTGAAACTCACCAAAGGGCCAAAACAAAAAGAATCATGCATTTTGCTCTTTGGGTGGTAATTTTCCAAAGCCACACTGTCTTTTGTGGGCCGAGGGATTTTTGTCTCCCTAGCTACCACACAGCTACCTTTATTTTTCTGTTGTTAATTCTTGAGTTTTTGCTGCAAAAAAAGCCTTTTCATATTTATATTGGTAAGTCTAATAAAAAATAGATGTTAAAAACAAAAGCACATCTGAGACAGCTCACTTACTTTCACAGGTTAACACCATCCTTCACTAATGTATTCATTTGAAGTGGATCTAAGTATTCCCCTAGTATTCTGCCCTTCAGACTCCATATTTGTTGTCTTTATGGGTTGTTTTTGTTTCCGCTGGTGCCTGTCTGCATAAAAGTGTGTGTGTGTGTGTGTGTGTGTGTGTGTGTGGGTGTGGTGTGTGTGTGTGGTGGTGGTGGTGCGCATGTCAGACCTTTTTTGTGTCCCCAGATGTGTGTGTATGACTGTGTAACGTCTGAGAGCGCAACTATGTATTTTTACATTTGCCTTGTTTTCCTGGTTGGGAATACCATAATTCCCTAATGTCCTCATCCTTACTTCAAATCCTAGCAGGTGTTTTCGGCTTGATTGAAAGTTGTTTTGCCGCCTTGGTGTTGTTTGTGTGAGTGTGTGTTTGTTCTTGCTTGCATGACTAGGGATGAAGCGTCGAGCGAAGACAAAGACAAACAGAAAAGACACACACAGTGGCTAGAGGGAAGCCGGAATGCCTTAGGGGAGTTTGCCTCTTTGCCTCCACTGCCAGCTCATCATAGAGCTGAGAGCTGCTTATCAGCCGGCGCGGCCTCCTCACTCACCAGCAATACACTTGTTTCCCCCTGAATGGGAATGGAGTGAGGTAGACCAGAGAGAGAACAGAGGTAGAAAAGCCACGTCTGTACTAGGGCCACTCATCTCCACGATAGCTACACTCGTTCACACACCATGAATAAAAAAGAGACAGTCTTATTTTAACCTTGACAATAGCAGAGAAGCTTCCTGAGGGATTGACTTTGGAGAGAACTGAAGCCCCCATGCTGGTCAGCCTGTCTATCAGATAGTCTCCTCTGCTCCTCTTATCCATGACGAAGCCAAATCATTTATGCATAAGACGGTGGCTCCTGGAAGACACCGGGGCTCCCAAAGGAGCGACAGAATTTACATCAAGCTCGTCCTGATGCCTGCTGCTGCTGCCTAAATTAGCAGATTTTTCTTGTTTCATTTGACAGTTTAATGCCGCAAATTCCCATTAATTGGCTAATTAATAGTAAGAACTAGTCTGATATATTGTCATTACACTGTCATTTTTTACCAGATAATGTCTAAAATAGAGATCTTCTCATTTGACTGGAGAATATCTAATGAACTTGTTCCGCTAATTGTTTATTTTGTAAGACGTCTTTAGTTTGATGTAGTGAATTCCGGATCATCAGCATTATGCTAACACGACACCGTCAACTGTGACTGCCGTTGATTCCTCAAGGCATGTGGCACCTTGACTTTATGGAAATTTAGAGCTGTGTCAGAAGAGGACTGCGGTGAAAAGTGGACAAGGGAAGGGTATCCAGGGAGCAAAAACAAATGAATAAAAGGGTAGAGCAGGCACAGATTATAGAGATGGAGAGAAGGGGCATTTGCGTCAGGCGTCTGCAGCCAGTCAGAATGTAGCAGGCTCGGTCAGAGAGGAGCACAGAGAGCCCAAGGCCTGTCCGTCATTGAGTTACAGCCTCCCATGTGCAGCTCGGGTCACTGTCTCAGTGCAACTGCAATTATGCTGAGGCAACACGTGGCCTGCTCGCTACTGTCCACATCTTTATGAGGTCAAATAAGAGAGAGCGAGGTACTTCATCTCCCTAAATGCTCTGCTCCCCACCCATCTCATTCAGGAGGCACTGCCTTTCAGACCCCTGTCAGCTCACTATAAACCACCTCGCTGTGTGTGTGTGTGTGTGTGTGTGTGTGTGTGTGTGTGTGTGTGTGTGTGTGTGTGTGTGTGTGTGTGTGTGTGTGTGTGTGTGTGTGTGTGTTTGTGTGTGTGTGTGTGTGTGTGTGTGTGTGTGTGTGTGTGTGTGTGTGTGTGTGTGTGTGTGATGTAATTCTTGTGTTATCCAGGCAGGTTGCCATTACTTAGAGAGAAAGAAGATACTGGAGGGTGAGGGAGTTCACATCACACTTATATTTCTTGGCGTACACACACACCCACAAACCAAGCCAATGGCTCGTTTAGGAAATTAAAGGCTTGATAAGCAAAGACCTAGAATGTTGCGTTGCAAAGTAATTGCGAAAATATTGCTTGAGAAATGTTGAGTATTCTTTTTGGGTTGATATTCCTTTGACTCCAAATTCTCAACAAAATTCTGCGATTTTTCCATGTTGCTCCACTCTTCGCATAAAGAGTTAAGGCCCACCTTACTGTAGGTGTTCATTCAACATGCCGTCTTACCCCACGATAGTTGAAGGATGTAATGCTGCTTCAGAATGTGCGCGCACGTCTGCCCTCGCCCCCCAACCAAAAAACCTATTACCCTACACTTTTAAGGGCCGATGCACGGTGCAGGGAGACAGATCATCTCCGGTAATTCCATTTTATACCCCTCAGGATTTTCCAATGAGTGTGCTCTGCAGGCATTTAATTTATGGCCACTGCATCTCCTGCACCACTGTAATGTAAAAAGCTCCAGAGTCTTTGAGCAGCCCTGACACATGGAACCTTGCCATTTGTTTCTCTCCCCTTCTCCCCCGTCTGTCGACCCATGAGGGCTCTATGCGAGTCAGAGAGTGTTATGACCATGAGATGGGTAGAGAGCTGTGTTAAAGCCCATTAGAGTGTCGGCCCTGTTTGAACATTGCAGCTGAGCCCTGAGTGCACTGTTCAGCCCTCTGCTGCTCCATTCAGCCTGAGGGGGAGCCAGGACACTGGAATATTCCCCTTACATTTCAATTAGCAACAATGTATTTAAAGAGATAGTCCACTCATTTCAAGCCATATAAACAGACCGGGCGATTCTTTGTCCAAGTGAGGAGATAAATAGACCAAAATGCTGTTACATCATTCTGTACAACAGAAGTGAATCCACTCATTAGTGTAATAATGTTCACTGCATTGAACAATGACAATGGCAGTGTTATTTAACCAGTAACAATGAGCCTCATGCAAGAACATGTTGGTGTTTTCAAATATCTCTTACTTTTTGTGATCAGAAGTCTAACTCACAAAACTCTAAACTGTAAATTGCTGTTTTGCTCGTTCGTAGGTGCGCTTCTTTGAGATTTGATCATTAGCATGTTCCGACTTTCATTCACAAATAAGAATTTCACACTGCACAGCTTCACATCCTGCTGTCAGAAATCAGCAGATAACAAATTAGGCACTGTCAGATTAAAAAACATTAAGACAGATTTTAACAGCGTATCATCAGAAATAATTGTCAGCGCCCCGATTTGCTGAACTGAATAATCAGTTTGCACTTTTAACTTTTTGGATTTTGGTGTTATCAAAAATACATATTCCAATCATCAAAGCATCATAAATCATTGTAAATTATACTCTAAGGAAGAAAGACATATCTGTCGCTGACTCTTTTGAAAGAACGGATTACTTAAAAAGAACAGTTGTGAATGTGACAAGTGCTCTTAGTTGTTTGTATGTTCGTATACTTGTTTTGCGAGAGGATCAATGCCTGGATAATTCAAAGAATACCTTATCCATTTCCCACACGGACAGAGGTTTAGGCTTTTAAAGTGTGTGTGTGTGTGTGTGTGTGTGTGTGTGTGTGTGTGTGTGTCTCTCTGTTGTGTGTGTGTGTGTGTGTGTGTGTGTAGCCCCCCTCCTCCCTCTCCGCCTTTGCTCACCACCGTTTTGACAGTCTCTGCTGGGTTTTAAGACTTCCTCTTGAATAAGTGGTGCATTTTTCACAAACAAATGTCTTTGCCTGAGTGTGCCCATCTTTTTTCCCCCTCCTCGCCCTATCTCTCCGCCTCTGTCTCTCCTGTCCTCCCTGCCGCCCGCTTTCACGATTTAAATTCAAGTCTGCAATCAGACGCAGCATAAATATCCACCTCTTTTAAGAAGCTCTGGGAAAGTCATTTCCATAACATAAGTGCTCAGACAAAACAAACTGCCACTCGAGCTGGTTCCTATTGCACTAATTGAGCAGGTTGATGAGCATGCTCTTCTTTTATTTTTAGCTCTGCCCCCCCCCCTCTTTTCTTCCCCACCTCCCTCCATCACTTTAACCCTGAACGACCCCTTCCCTTCTTTCTGTCTTACCACCTGCCCCCACTGCAGGGCTTTGTACGGAAAAAGGGCAATAACACTATGTGGCTTTTTGCTTTGCAGGAGGAAAATGAGTAACTACTTTGGTTTTTCCAGCCAATGTCCATCCAGAGACAAATGCCATTGTCTTTTTCATTTTATTTTTGGATGTCCTTCTCCCCTCTCACCTCCTGAGTACGCTTTAAATGACGACTAATGTCTCAGTTCATACACTACAGGCTACTGATGATTATTGCAGCGGGGACAAAGGCTTTGTTTAGGTGTGATGGTGGATTTTTTTTCGGGGGTGGGCAGGGATATCTCTTATTTAAAAGACCAAGGCACAGTCATGGAACAACCCAAACCCTCCCTCGGAAGGATGGCTGCTGGCTCCCTGTGGAAGAACCGTCTCGCCCTGCCTCCCTCCCTTTTACTTCCTTCTCATCGCCCCCCCCCCACCCCCAAACTGTCTTTCCTCATCTTCACTATAACCATTTCCTCTACCTGTCTCATCTTGTTTGTTTTGCTGTCTGTGTCCCACTAAAAGCTGACTGTTTGTCATGATTTCTACTCCGACAAACTGGCTCCAACAGAAAAGGAAAAAAGACAAACATACACACACACACAAATACACACAGAAACAGGCCATGACTGACACAAGCAAACAGCCTCCATCCATCTTAATGTAGGCTACTTTTCATATTGTTGATGCCCGTAGCCGCAGGAGGAGAGACGTAGTAGTGGGGGAATTCGTTCTGCCGGGCTTTGATTCCATTTATTTTGCCCTTGAGTGGATTATTGTTTCACATGGGACATTAGACATGGGTGGTGAGGTGTTATTCGACGCTCTCATACCTCTCTGGGGGGATCCTGCATGTGAACTAATCTCTGCCATTTGATCCCGGTGAAGTCACAATGTGGCTGAAATCCTCCTCGCACATCTCAGGCTCTGCATTACGCAGGGATATCATATTCTATTTAATTTGCTCATCCAAGCCCTCCCTGGCGCCTCTTACACCACGCCAGTAGGAGTGGATACTCTGCTCCTGATACCCAGCACGCACACGGCAGCAGTGTAAGCTCACAAACAGCGAGATGGCCCAGCACCACATGCTTTAACCAACATACCTTACATTCTGTCTTATGTCCCTGTACGAACTGTGCCGTCACTTTCTTTCTCTCTGTTTTCCGTCTAATAGCTCATAATGTACCCTGCCATTTATGCATGTTCACCACTTCAAAACTATGCATACATGAAAACCCACATGTGATAAGCATGCCTGTTGAAACCAAGCAATAACTTTTGTTTGCCTAATCCTTGTTCAGAGAGTTAATTTTGTTTCAGATGCAGCAATATAGTTGCAAATCTGCTAGCCCCCATAGAAACATAGAAACCATCCAAAGTTCTGTTTCTGTCCCTTTTCTCAATTTACGTTATCTTATCGTGTAATGATTCTCTTATTTTTTTCTTCCCACTCTTGTACTGGCCCAGGTGTGTTTTGGTTGTTGTATGTAGCATATCTTTGTCCCTATCCCCATTTAATTTTTTTGTATCTCCCTTTGCCTTTTCTCCAAGAATATCCCTAACTCTGCTCTCTCCACCTTGATCAGGTCATCGGGGGAGACGAGGAGCGGGGAGACTCTAGAGCTGACCATGAGCAACATCAGCGCCGACGTGCTGGAACTGCTGCTGGAGTTCGTGTACACCGGTTCGCTGGTCATCGACTCTGCCAACGCCAAGACGCTGCTTGAGGCTGCCAACAAGTTCCAGTTCAACACCTTCTGTAAAGTCTGTGTCTCCTTCCTAGGTAGGAACAGCTCAGTGTGTGTTTGATGCTGATATCATCAAGTGTGCAAGCTTATAACATCAGATATTCCGACGTGACCTTTCCTGGTACATGCAGTAACTAAAGCCTTGTGTGTTTTCACATGTTGTCATAATTCATCACTATGCCCAACCTTACAGAGTGCCGTCTTATGCAGAAGCTAAATTTCCTCCCTGACTCTGGCACGTCACGCCCCTGTTTGTCATTTTTCCAAAGCCCGCAGTCGTGCGAGAATTCAGCCCGCGAGCACTCTCAGTTGGGCACGGTGCCTCTGATCTCCTCCCAGTGGGCAAGACCAAGCACAGGGGCAGATTTATAAAAAGGTCAGGGAACAATTGTCACTTAAATGTCAAATCCTCTGGCCTGAACCACGAGAGAATCGAAAAATAGCAAAAGAGATTGATACCTAGACATGGTATGGAAAGTGGAGCAAAACAGAGAAGGGGCTTTCAGGAGCCCAAGGGGTCACATGAAGCACAAATGGCATGTTCCAGATTTCATAGGGTAACCAACCAAAGGGGCGACCAAAAAAGCTACAAATGTCAGGCTTTGCATTCCATTTTATGAATTGTTTTGAATGTCGGTAACACAAGGGAAGTGCATGTTAGCAAAAAGGTCAACGGCAGAAAAAGAAAGAAAAAGAGAACCAGCAGCCGTCATTATTGATTTGTTTCTCTCAATTTGGGCGAGAAAAAAGGGGGGTCGGGGGTGAAAACAGGGAAACCATTTGTAGACTGCATTGCCAGTGAGATGTCAATTCATTCTTCCTCGACAAGATTCATGACATTTCAGCACGTTACGAGGGGAGCAAATACAGGCGAGAGCGTGTGTCCTTGAGCGAAGAGAAATTGATACTGTGTCAGATATTATTGAAGTTTGTAACAAATACACCAAGGAGAAATAGCATCTCCTCGACCTACTTATAACACTTTGACTTTTATTCACAGAACTTCTGAAAATAAAAACAAAGTCATTTATTGTTTGCCTACTACTCTGGAGAAATCCTGCCTGTTTTATAATCCGAAAATGTTAAAGAAACATGCCCTAAATTTCAACTCTTTCTAATTTAATGGCATGAGTTTGCGAGCGTGTGCAGTGAAATAAGTCTTTGCTGAAATGACATAACAGAGAGACATTTAAAACAGTCTTTTTTGTTTAGTCCCTAACCCCCTAGTTGATGAACCATGAAGCCAACTTTGATTTGGTCTTTGGTTTGGCTGGTGTTAAGCTTTGATTTAGCAGATGTTAGATGACCTTTATGGGCTGATATTTGTTTAGGAAAGACTCTCAGTCTGACTTCAATGATAAGGCCTGGCATGGCTTCCCTTTTGATGGTTATTATTTAATCAGGCCTCTTTCATTGGCCGCTGACCCAGTTCATCCACATGTTTGCCTGTGTGTGTGCACTACACTGCCAACACATTCCCCTCTCTTGTGATAAATGGTGAAAAAAAACTCAAATTACCGAAACACCACCTTGAATCCCGCACCCTCACAAGAGACTGCAGAAGGTAGTGTTAACCTTCTCCCGTTAGCCTTCCTTTAATGCTACTTTTATATATCCCCAGCTCTGTGTGTGTAATAGTAGACCCTGAGATCTGACAGGAGTTCTTTAAAGTGGTCCAGCTAATCCCAAATCCCACTTCCTGCTTTTCTCCACCTCCTGCCTGGGCTGTGAGCGATCGATGCCCCTCGTTGTTTGTCCCCCGAGCTGTTTTGAGTTATTAGACTTGTTCTCCCTCTGTCTCAGGAAGATATACACGATCTGTGCTACCTGATGCCTGCTTTTTCTGTCTTTGCTTTCTACGTCTCTGATCTTTTTAAGGATGTCTAAATGATGTTTTTCTCCATCCTAATCAACCTGCCTGTGTCTTTGTTTGTTTCTTGTTTTTGTTTCTCTGTCTGTCTCTTTTCAACCTTGTTTATCGACTCCAGAAAAACAGCTGACTGCAGCTAATTGTCTTGGAGTGCTGGCCATGGCTGAAGCTATGACTTGCACGGAGCTCCATAACATGGCCAAAGCTTATGCACTGCAGAACTTCCCTGAGGTGGGTAGAGATTTAGCATCTTTCCTGTCAGTCTAAGAAAGAATTCCTGAGGAAGATACATGCTGGATCCAAAATAATAATGTACTAAATGTATGTACTAAATGTACTAAAATAAATACAGTTATGAACAAACAGAAATTAAATCAACTTGAAATAATTACAATAATTCATAATATAGATATAATGCCTTTAGCAATCAATACATGAATACATTAAGTACTTAGCTTTATTTAACTATAACAGCTTTTTAATAAAAAATGTAGCACTAAACCGCACAAGAGAAAGTGAAATAGATTTCGGAAGCAGTAAATTCACAAGGAATCACTAAGGACAGAACGATTTGCTCTGCTGCACAGTACGGAGAGAAAATATGTTGCTTTTCTAACCTCAGCGTCATCTCTAATGCCTCTGCAAGTTTATTCATTAGCCATCAAAGAAGAAAACACAAATAATATTTCTAGTTAACCTTCAACTTGGGAGCTGGATCCAGCTATTCGTCAAGAACCTTTTACGGAGTGTCAAAGGGCTTGAAGCTAATTAAAGGGTCCCATTTTGAGTTTGACTAGTTTCTTCCTTACTGTTCAGGTGGCAGGAAAGGAGGAGATTTTGAGCGTGTCCAAGGACGATCTGCTGGCCTACCTCTCCAACGACAGCCTGAACACCAAAGCTGAGGAGCTGGTCTACGAGACGGTCATCAAGTGGATCAAACGAGACCCCAACACCAGAGTGCAGGTAATACAACAGAGGGCTGATGAGTGTGTTTGTGTGTGTCCGACACTACATTACATTTAACCAAAAGGAGCACACCCTGTATGTGTGTCATGAGACAAAGAAGTGAGATAAAACTCACGTTACAGCATATGTGTGGTGGTGAGGTACACAGCATGGAAATCCAGTAAAGGGACTCCCTGTTTTCTATCGGTGGTGTTCATCAATTTATGTGCCTCAGATGCATCCTAACACAGCAGTTGTTCATAATCCCAGGAGTGCTTTGCCCTCAGAATGTGCTCTATTCTTAGTTGCACTTCATTTGTTTGTGAGACAAAGTACCGCATGAGAAAAAAAAACACAATAAAAACACAGACAGCAGCAGTCCTTTATCGTACGCCTAACCGGTGGGATTTATTCCTAGAGGCTGTTAATCATAATCCGAGGTTAAAACCCGCAGAGAGGTATTGACACTCAGGTACAGCAGGTCAAATTTGAACAAACGTGGAATCGATAAGCCTCAAGGTCAGAACGTCAGTCCACTTTCACAAAAAATGTAAATGGACTGCATAGGATATCCATCCAGCGGGGGGAAACCTCATGTCATGAGATTTTTATGGATTCACTCACGGAACCTATGAATTTAAAGCTGATGATTTTTAAGTATTTTATAGCTGTTTAAAAAGTGGAGGTGAGATTATTATCAGATAAATTACACCGCTCCTTCACTGGAGGAGCCATTCTTTCAGAGTAATGTCTTCTCATCAACCTGCACAAAGGGGAACTGCCTCAGGCAATCAAAGTCACTTTATTGGGAACTACTTTTATGACCCATCCGTTTGTTTTTTTACCTTTTGTATTAAACATTTATCTTTTTAAATGTAGAAATCCATCAGGACTTAAATGTGCTCTAGGGGAAGTTTGAGAATATTTTGTGCAATACAAAGATTAAGCACAAGCCATTGGAAGCAGACGTTTCTATATAAGAGCTGAGACAAAATAACAAGAAATAGAGTGGGATTAGCTTTTATGAAATGGTGACTGATAAATCCATGGTGGCTGATGGAAAATTAGACCCGGTGGTCCTGCAAAATTCACAGGGAGCCACAACAAGGTCGCTGCACAGTTTTTAGGAGAACATGCGACCCGTGTCATCTGCATCGAAAACCAGCATCCAGTTCGGTCCAGCAATCTCACACTCTAATGGAGAGGTGCAGAGGTGAGTTACTCAGATGAAGTAGAAGAAAAAAGAAATGAAACATTCTCCCGGTTGTCTGAACAACTCCACCGCACTGGTTCCTGAGACGAGACACCAGGGTCACCCCGTCTCGAAAGAGAGCGGGAGAGGGAGAAAAGGAGGGGTGGTAAGACAGTTGGAGTGAGAGAAAGAATCGGAGCGAGACAGAAGGACAGATTGATTGAGAAACGAGAAAGAAAAGGGATTGGAGAAAAAAGAAGGCCCTGTGTTCTAATCTCATATCCAACCGTTTGTGCCTCTGCGCACAGCCATGACATCCAGGCAGGGGAGATGTGATTGAGCTCTCGGTCAAGCTCAAATCCCCTGCCCATGTGTGACCGAAAAAACAACTAGCAAGCCTTGGGCCTGCGGAGAAGACAAGGGAGGAGTGCGGAGAGAGGATAGTCTGCTTCCATCATGCCACAGGAGAAGGTTATTTGACCCAGAGGGCTGAGTTTACACGCATGGTCCGTCCAGCACAGCTCATCATCCCCCCCGCCCTCGCCTCCGTCCCCACTGCCCGTTTGGAGGCAGCGAGCAGCGAATCACTACCCCCGAACCTGTGACACTTTTTAATGACATGTCAGGGCAGAATGTCACAGCTCTGCTCAAGAACTCAGTCATGGAGGGGGAGGGGGGGGAGGGGGGTCGTAATGCCCTGAGCAAAGTTTATGTGCGTTTGCATTCAACGGAGCGCACGCCAATGTGTGTCTTTGTACGTGCATGTTCTGTGGGTTGTAAGCTGCGGGCTATAGAGTGGAAAAGTGGCATATTGAAGGCGCTGGGTAAATAATATGCAATTTTCTCTCTCCGCTACGCTGTCACTAACATCCGATGGCACCAGGAAACATGGCCCGGACATCGCTTAGAGACATTTTGAGCGTTAATAATGGTTTGCTATGAGAAACATAACCACTGAGTGAAATAGAAGAGAAAGCTTGTCAGTTTTCCTTGATATGAATATTATTGCAGCTGTTTATATTATATATGTATATATATTTGACTATATTCATGAAATAGAGACTACAAACCCTTTGGCTGAAATGAGAGATTGATAGAACTTAAACAAATCTACAACAATTCGGATAATCATAAATCTATAAGGAATAGTATAGATATTTTTCGCAATTAGATAATGTGCTTTCTCGGTTAGAATTACATGTTAAAAATACTGCCAAGAAATGGTAAGCTTAGCATTTAATGAACAGAGTATTGATCTTGGTAAATGGACTGTACTTACATAGCGCTTTGTCAGGTCTTTATGACCCTCAAAGTGCTTTTACATACTAAGTCATTCACCGTTCACACCTCATTCATTGAGCAGTACCACTTGCTCTAGGGAACTAACATTCATACACATTCACACACCTTTGGTGAGCAACTCAGGGTTAAGTATCCTACCCAAGGATTCATCAACATGTTGACATTAACTCTGATTAATAAAAAGCAAATAATGTCAATGTCAAATAATAATAATAATAATAATAATGTCAATGTCAAATAATCTTAAATTCTTTATTAAAAAAGCTATCAAATGTTTGCTCAGTTGGTCAGACAGTATAATAGTTAATAATACATATTTATTATTTAAATTATACACACCTCAATGTACTAAAACCTCTTAACATTCATCCTTTATTGATCGTAAGAAGCTACATCTGAGAACTAAATCTGCCTTCAGCCAGCAAGAAACTGGATCCATAAGTGAAGAGGCGTCTTGTGTCATGTTTTCTCTTTGAAGGTGCTTACAGGGACAGACCTGCCCTTCTTTTCACGCAGTGCTCTTTTGTGGGACGACCACAGACACATGGCTCCAATTATAACAGTCCAGTCTCCTGCCAAATCCCTGAATAGGACCGCCATTACGCCTCACTTGAACATATTTCATAAAGGTTCCTATCTTGCCAGGTGACTCAACCTGACAAAAGAGCCTGATTAATTGGCTCTTTGGAAAGTGGCCAACTAATGTAACAGCTAAAAAGGACAGTAAATGGTGTGTTTTCATGATTAAAAAGGGCCAGCCTTGCCATTAGCAAAGACCTGCTGTCCACTCATCAGAAATAACAATCGCCTGCCCTGACATTTGCGGCTCCCATGCCGTATTGATATGGTTAAAGGTATTACATAAAATCTCCTACTCGAAGTTATTAGTTATATTTGGTGAATTTATTACAATTGACTGGTGAAGTGACAAGATGATTTTCTTTGCTTCCAGTGCTCATTAGAGGGAAAAAGAAAGAAAAAATGATGCTATCATTATGTAGAGTATAAAATTATCAAAGGACACAAATGCTTTGAGGCTGTGTAGGGATATAAACTTTTCCCTCACTGTTTAACATTTTAATTTACCTTCAAAACCACAAATGGCCCTTTCACCATAGGCATCACTTTTAATCTAGTCATTTTCTTTTTAAGCTCCAATTCAAACCAGAAACTTTTCCTCGCCACGCACCCCTAAAGAAAAGGTTAATTGTGTTTATTCAAGATGAGGAGCTATGTGCCACAACAAACCTCCTTGAGGAGGAAACGGAAGCTTGGAAGCAGAAATGTACGGGTAGGCCATCTTCAGCATGACCTGTGACAAATAGGCACTCTTGAAGAGACGTAGCAAGGCAATGGAGATTGATGCATATTGCAGTCTTTGCTTTTTCTCTGCCTCTCCGCTCTCAAACTCACATGAATACAATCCTGCATGTACACACACACATTGAGAATGCATCGGATGTCACTGTTCATATCCCAGTCCTGTGCTCAAACATTCACACAAGACTAGAAATCATTTGTTGCGGTGCGACTCGCGTATTAGAGCGGATGGGATCTGATGCAAGCCACTGAACTCCGGACCGCGTTCTCATCTGTGTCCTTTGTCGTCCCTGAGTGCGCTCAGTCCTGATGTGTGCAGCCAGTTGAACCGCAGTCACCCAACTATGGAGGCTGCATAACCACAGCGAGTCGAAATGTGCCTTATTCCCACTGGGCTGCTCTTAAATAAACACACAAGGGTTCCATGAGCGATACGGCGAATAGAGAACCAACAAATAAAAAAAACTGCAGCGCTATATAATGGAGGGCAAATACATAAGTTGCTACCATCACATGTCACAAATAATTCAGCGAATTAAGAAACAAGCCAGAAAGTTTTATGTTAATATACAGCCAGCAGCCGTTCTTACAAATATGTTTTGTATTAAATGAGTGGAAGAAAGCTCCTTTCTTTTTTTGTTGAATGAAGTCATGCTGAAAAAAGGCCTCAGAGGAGAACACATTGCACCTGTCAGTAGTTGCTCAGGGCAGCAGTCAGCGTCTGTCGTCCGCTACATCTCTCTCCACCCCCTCCATCCATCCTCCTGGCTCATATGCACACTGAGTCGTGCCGTCACAAAAAACACACAAACACACTCAGGAAAGCATCTCATGAACCAAAATGAAGTGTTATTTACAAGACCGTATTTTATTAATCCATTATGTGTTACCACGCTAAAAGCACATGCGTGTCTCCTCACACAAACCTGCACACTCTGAAAAGGACACAACGAAGCTGTGGTCATTTCAGCTGAGTGGGTTTGTTAGCACTCTGAGGCTAAACATTGGCACGCGCTCTATTGAACACACATGTGTGAACCTTTGTGTGTGTGTGTGTGTGTGTGTGTGTGTGTGTGTGTGTGTGAGA